TTGAGGATACACATCTCAATAAGTAATGAGTTGAAGATACACTTGTCACAATAAGTCATGAACTGAGGATATACATCACAATAATTAATGAGCTGATGATACACTTATCACATTAAGTATGAAAGTGAGGATACACTTATCGCAACAATTATCAAGTTGAAGACACACTTATCACAATATCAAGCTAAGTAAGCACCTTATCATATTAAGTATCAAGCAAAGGATACACTTATCACAATGAGTATAAAACCAAAGATTATTTTATGATGCATTTTTATGTAACCTGAAAATTGGAAATGTCAGAGTTGTGTGAATTTAGCAAGAATGTTGACGAAAGTATTTTTCACAAGAAATGTTGTTTCATGAAATTCTTTAAAATTTGTACTAAAACTGTTTTGTTTTTTAACAAACATCTATGAATTTTCAAATGTGTATATTCTGCTGCTTAAAATGGTAGATGATTTCTTTTTCATTTTCTAAAATACATAAATTGCTTGAAGCACCTGTTTTGGATCAATAATTACCATGCTTGTCATGCCAACTATTGTTAAAGCGATTGTTACACTAAAGGGGATCTGTGAATGCCACCTTGTACAGATGTTGGCATCACCTAATAAATATTATTTGAATTATTTTTTCTTTTATTTCTAAACTGAAAAAAAAGATACCCATTAAAATCACTATGGTTCTTCCAAGACAAAATTAGCTGTATAATAACAATATTAGGACGTAAGCAATCATGGCTCTCCACACATTCCCTTTTCTTTATTATCTTTGATTCACAGATATAGTGGACTAGTTTAACATTGATTTTTTAATGGATTTGAATTCAGAGTAGACCTTAACATAGACTGGGTGTCACCCAAGGTGAAAGAACTCAATCTACACTACTATTTAATTAATATCTGAGAGAAGAGTAAACTGAGTCAAGTCTTTGCCAAGGACAGTGAATGCAATCAGTCATATACTAATTTTTCATATTATTTTACAATTTAAATATAGTAGTGTTATGGGATCTTACCCATAATAATAATAATGGACTATTCCATACTTAATAAATACTGCGCCTCAGGAGTAGGCAAGGAGTCAGTATTTCAAGTGTCAGAGGCAATCCGAAACAGAGTCGCATTCAGACAATTACTGCAAGACATTGGAATAGTGATACTGGTTGAGACTACATTGTTCTCTCTACTAAACCTGATTGTTCATACTAACACTTTCTACTTCTCTGTATATATTCCTGTTTGTAGTATATCTGTGTTATTCCATACCTGGGTTCGAGTTCTTCTTTATTGGTTCTACCTTGGACTATCACCGTGGTACAAGGAACCGGACCATAACAAATAGCAAGGAATGGCCAGTGATAAATGAAAAATTGTTCTATTTAAATTAGTTGAATTTCCAAGGTTCTTGAAAGTTAATATTAGTTATATTACATTATAAAAAATAGTAATCCAGAATGACCAATAATAAATAAAAAAATTGTTCTATTTAAATTTGTTAAATTGTAACAATCTGAATTTGTATCATAATTTCTTTGAGTTTTTGGGACAGTGCCACCTATACCAGAAATAACTGTTACTCTCAGATGCCATCATCATTATGCTACCATTATTTCAATGACCTGAAAACTGTTGAAGTTCTGGGATTCCAACTTCTTCAAAATCATTTTTTTTCTTTTTCCTACCTATTGTTCTTATAGTGTTCCTATAAATAAAATCTCATAGCTCAGATATTTTAGATGTGTCACTCTCTCTACTTTTCTCTGCATATGTGTCTTCATCTCATCTTACACTTTTGTATTGTTTTATTTGCCCAAAAGAGAAAAAAAAAATGCACACGCATACATGCACAAAATAATTCTTCACCCCCCCCCACACACACACAAAAGAAAACAAATGAAAAATAATAGGAGTAAAATGAGGCAGACTTTGTATTTGATGTTGGCAAAGAATGCTTATTCTGGATGAGATGAACAACAACCATTGTATTTTTAACTGGATCCTGGCCATAAAGTATTACTTTGAAAAGTGGTACCTTATTATCGCTTTTGTTCCCGTATATTTTGACAATCTTTTTCACTTCCCTCATTTCTTTCTTCTTTTTCACCTTTTCACACTATTTAACAACTTCTATTTTGGAATTGTGTCTCCTTTTTGGATACTAATTTAGTTTTAAGCACATCCACACGAGACACACACAAAATAAAATTTTCTTTTCTATCCCAACTTCACAAATTGGAATAAACAAGAACAATTTTCTACAGTATTTAACATTATCAATCAGCGAATAAATTCATAAAAATAAAAACATTTATTAAAACTCATCAAACTAAAATGAAATTCTCTACCTTGTTGCTACATATCTTCCAACTACTTTTATGCTGGGTGATTTCATAACAAGGAAACATTTTTTTGGTCATTTAATGGCAAATTTTATATGAAGTACCCAGTGAGGATTGAAGTCAATAGTAATGCTCAACCAGACAAACTTCACTAGCCATTACCTTTAATTTGATTGGTTGATTTTAAAATCCTTGTTGGGTTAATAACACAAAATTTGATATTAATAATGTTAAATTTTATTTGAGGTACCCAATGAGGATAAAATACACTACTCAGTAGTTATGGCAAACCAGATTAGACTTTCTAACCAGTACTTTTGGTTTAGTTTGTTGATTTTACAACATCTCAACTCCGGTTGAATTATTTTTATGGGACACTCAGTGAGGATCAAACTCACTAATCAATAATCAATAGTTAACAAGGCTAACCTTGTTGAACATTACCCCATACCAATTACTTTTTGGTTGATTTCTCAGAATGTCACACCTTGTTAGGTTATTTTATGTCTAATTTTCTATGTGGCACCCAGTGAGAATCAAACACTACTCATTAGTTAATAGTTAACCAGTATGGCCTTGATAACCATTACCCTACACCAAATCACGTGAAACATTTTGCTTCATTTGGTTCATTTTAAGTGTTAACTTTTGATAGGTTATTTAATGCCTAATTTTATATAAGGTACCCAGTGAGGATCTAATGCTTTCTCATTAGTTAATCATTAATATGAATGTCATTGCTAACCATTACCCACCCATGCCAAAGTACTTTAAACTTTCTCTTATTGCTGGTTGGTTCATTCTACAACTTACAGATCATTTTGTTCATAAGCCAAGAAGAATTCTATGTTTAAAATGGTAAATTAAAATAATTTAGGTTACTACTAGTTATTTAAATTAATAAAGCTTATTGATTTTCATATGAGATCATAACAGTGTTATTTGCTTAGTCTAAAATATTTTAGAGAATAGGAAGATGCACTGATATGAATGAATTGGGATTAGATGAAAACAGACAGATAGAGCCAGTATGAATAAACTGTGTGATAGATAGATAGATAGAATTAGAATAATAGATAGATAGATAGAATTAGAATAATAGATAGATAGATAGAATTAGAATAATAGATAGATAGAATTAGAATAATAGATAGATAGAATTAGAATTAGAATAATAGATAGATAGAATTAGAATTAGATAATAATAGAATTAGAATAATAGAAGATTAGAATTAGAATAATAGATAGATAGAATTAGAATAATAGATAGATAGATAGAATTAGAATAATAGATAGATAGAATTAGAATAATAGATAGATAGAATTAGAATTAGAATAATAGATAGATAGAATTAGAATAATAGATAGATAGATAGAATTAGAATAATAGATAGATAGATAGATAGAATTAGAATAATAGATAGATAGAATTAGAATAATAGATAGATAGAATTAGAATTAGAATAATAGATAGATAGATAGAATTAGAATAATAGATAGATAGAATTAGAATAATAGATAGATAGATAGAATTAGAATAATAGATAGATAGATAGAATTAGAATAATAGATAGATAGAATTAGAATTAGAATAATAGATAGATAGAATTAGAATAATAGATAGATAGATAGAATTAGAATAATAGATAGATAGATAGAATTAGAATAATAGATAGATAGAATTAGAATAATAGATAGATAGAATTAGAATAATAGATAGATAGAATTAGAATTAGAATAATAGATAGATAGATAGAATTAGAATAATAGATAGATAGATAGAATTAGAATAATAGATAGATAGAATTAGAATAATAGATAGATAGATAGAATTAGAATAATAACTAGATAGAATTAGAATAATAGATAGATAGATAGAATTAGAATAATAGATAGATAGAATTAGAATTAGAATAATAGATAGATAGATAGAATTAGAATAATAGATAGATAGAATTAGAATTAGAATAATAGATAGATAGATAGAATTAGAATAATAGATAGATAGAATTAGAATTAGAATAATAGATAGATAGATAGAATTAGAATAATAGATAGATAGAATTAGAATTAGAATAATAGATAGATAGATAGAATTAGAATAATAGATAGATAGAATTAGAATTAGAATAATAGATAGATAGATAGAATTAGAATAATAGATAGAATTAGAATTAGAATAATAGATAGATAGATAGAATTAGAATAATAGATAGATAGATAGAATTAGAATAATAGATAGATAGATAGAATTAGAATAATAGATAGATAGATAGAATTAGAATAATAGATAGATAGAATTAGAATTAGATAGATAGATAGAATTAGAATAATAGATAGATAGAATTAGAATTAGAATAATAGATAGATAGATAGAATTAGAATAATAGATAGATAGAATTAGAATTAGAATAATAGATAGATAGATAGAATTAGAATAATAGATAGATAGAATTAGAATAATAGATAGATAGAATTAGAATTAGAATAATAGATAGATAGATAGAATTAGAATAATAGATAGATAGAATTAGAATAATAGATAGATAGAATTAGAATAATAGATAGATAGATAGAATTAGAATAATAGATAGATAGAATTAGAATTAGAATAATAGATAGATAGAATTAGAATAATAGATAGATAGAATTAGAATTAGAATAATAGATAGATAGAATTAGAATAATAGATAGATAGAATTAGAATTAGAATAATAGATAGATAGATAGAATTAGAATAAAACATAGAATTAGAATAAAACATAGATAGAACTGGAATAAAAGATTGAGAGATAGAATTGGAATAATAGATAGATAGATAGATTCGAATAATAGATAGATAGAATTGGAATAAAATATAAATAGATAGATAGATATGAAGAGAACAGGATAGATAGATAGATAGATATGAAGAGAACAGGATAGATAGATAGATAGATATGAAGTGAACAGGATAGATAGATAGATAGATAGATATGAAGAGAACAGGATAGATAGATAGATATGAAGAGAACAGGATAGATAGATAGATAATGAAGAGAACAGGATAGATAGATAGATAATGAAGAGAACAGGATAGATAGATAGATAGATAGATATGAAGAGAACAGGATAAATAGATAGATAGATAGATAGATATGAAGAGAACAGGATAAATAGATAGATAGATAGATAGATATGAAGAGAACAGGATAGATAGATATGAAGAGAACAGGATAGATAGATAGATATGAAGAGAACAGGATAGATAGATAGATAGATAGATATGAAGAGAACAGGATAGATAGATAGATATGAAGAGAACAGGATAGATAGATAGATATGAAGAGAACAGGATACATAGATAGATAGATATGAAGAGAACAGGATACATAGATAGATAGATAGATAGATAGATAGATATGAAGAGAACAGGATAGATAGATAGATATGAAGAGAACAGGATAGATAGATAGATATGAAGAGAACAGGATAGATAGATAGATATGAAGAGAACAGGATAGATAGATAGATAGATAGATAGATAGATATGAAGAGAACAGGATAGATAGATAGATAGATATGAAGAGAACAGGATAGATAGATAGATAGATAGATAGATAGATATGAAGAGAACAGTATAAATAGATAGATATGAAGAGAACAGTATAAATAGATAGATATGAAGAGAACAGGATAGATAGATAGATAGATAGATAGATAGATAGATATGAAGAGAACAGGATAGATAGATAGATATGAAGAGGATAGATAGATAGATAGATAGATATGAAGAGAACAGGATAGATAGATAGATAGATAGATATGAAGAGAACAAGATAGATAGATAGATAGATAGATAGATATGAAGAGAACAGGATAGATAGATAGATAGATATGAAGAGAACAGGATAGATAGATAGATATGAAGAGAACAGGATAGATAGATAGATAAATAAATAGATAGATATGAAGAGAACAGGATAGATAGATAGATAGATAGATAGATAGATAGATAGATAGATATGAAGAGAACAGGATACATAGATAGATAGATATGAAGAGACCAGGATTGATAGATATGAAGAAATATAGACAGATAGATAGATATCAGGATAGATAGATATAAAGAAACCAAGCTAGATAGATAAATTGATATGAAGAAACCAAGACAGATAGATAGCTAGATAGATAAATTGATATGAAGAAACCAAGATATATAGATATGAACAGATAGATAGCTAGATAGACTAAGATATATAGATTAAAAATTTGCATCTAGCCTTCATATAAGCTTGTCATGTCTTATTTCAGTTGAGTCTGGCATCTTGGTAAGGATTAGAACTTTTTAATCAAGCAAGGATGCAATTCTCTCAGTCGCTCTGTCATAAACAAATTCAGCAAAAATAAGTTGTTTCTCTGAACAAATAGCTTTGCTGACAAAATTAATAAACATTGTTATGGAAAGAAACCTGATCAGAATATTGTTTATGAAATGCTGTCTTGTCGCATGATCTGGTTCAAAAGCAGGTGACCATTTGCAGATGCCATGGAGGACATAGATTATTTTAAGTAGAGAGTGACTTTAGGAACTCTAAGAGATGCATTATTGCACTGTACGGGAAGCAAGTGGAAGGAAGAAATAAAGAGATTGAATTTGAAAAGAGAAATGAAAAAGTAAGGAAAAAAGAAAAAAGGAAATTAAAAAAGAAGGAAAGGAAAATAAATGGTATTACAGCAAAGAAGAAGAAAAGGAGAAATAAGTAAAGAACAGGAGAAAGTGAAGAAAAATAAAAAGAGGTTGAAAAAGTGAAGAAAAATGGTTATGAACAGATGAGAAGAGAAAAGAAGTAAGGAAAGTAAAAGAAAATAAATAGAGAAGAAAGAAAGAGAAAAGGAAATAAGTAAAGTATAGGGCTTGGAAAATTTGATACTCACAGGGCAGATTGAAAGCAACAGGAACAGAGGAAAATAATGTGTAACCTACCTAGCGAGCTTGAGTAAATGGATGGCAGAACAATTTTATGAGGGATAACTAAAAGACAAAATTTATTAAGGGCTACAATGGACAGGAAATTGTGGAGAGCAATGATCGGCAATATCCTGAAGGGATACAGCATATAGAAGAAGAAGAAGAAGAAAAAGGGAAAAATGTAAAGGAAAAAAGGATAGGCACAACAATGAGAAATGAAAAAGTAAGAAAAAAGAAAGCAAAAAAAGAATGAATAAAGTAGAAAGAAAGAGAAAAGAAAATAAGATGTAAAGAATAGAAGAACATGAAGAAAAGAAGGTGAAATAGTCATAGAAAAATAAAGACAAAACTAAAGTGTAAAAGTGACATGGAAAGAAAAAAAACGGATTTAAGGAAGTTCTAAAAGAGCTGAAGAAAAATACTAAGAACAGCTACTCACAGGCCTCACATAAGAATAGTGGGGCTCATAATAAATAAATGCCTGTGGGAAGGGAACAAATCAGAAAATTTAATCACTATTGATGGGGTCAATAACTGATGAAAAGAAAATATAGTTATATATTATTTCAGACCACATCAGAGGCTGATATTGTTGGTATGAAATTAGAGGTTGAATCTTCCTGCTAATAATCCAGAATTATTTTTTGCTTTTTTTACATATATCAGCTGACTGGCACAACCGTGTCTGACATGAAAACATATCCAAAGCAGATGTATGTCACTGAATTCTTTGATGTGTAAACAAAAAAACTTGCACCCACTGATATTCCTCAAAATTTGATGAGCATTCATAGAGATTCATTATTGGTAGATCTTGTTGTCAAGTATGAGGATGCTCATCAACATTTGCTTCTATGTGAAATGAGTCCTATGTTAGATCTAGAGAAACATCTGCAGCCAACGTAGGTTAGGGTAGGAGAGTTCAGGGAATGGAGAGTTCTAGCTTTTCTTTAGGCTCTCTTTATGTCTTCTATTTGTTTTCTTGTATTTTTGAAGGATGTTTTTATTTTGTGGACTGCTCTTCTCCAATTGGTTCTTTTTACAGTTTCTCTCTACCAATTATGCAGATTAAATAGTAGATATAAAGGCAGTTGGTGGTACAATTTAGCAGTAGCAATGACACATCTCATAGTGTGATATATAAGATGGCAAAAATGCTGTGTTGTGACATAAGCGAGGTGTGACAATTATATATTTTTCTGATGACATCAGCTCTCAACTTGGTATCTATGCTGATGACACAGCCATTTCCTCCTGTCTTGATAATATGTCTGATCAGATCGATAAGATCATATTGATAGCTGATGTTAAAAAAGATCATCAGCCCGTTGTTAACTGAGACAAAGAATGCCTTGTTAATTCTAATGCCTCCAAAACAAAGCTGATCTCTATTAATCATCTGAGAAACCTCTTTCTGCCTTCCATCAGCATGGCTGATACTACCCTCCAGGAGAGGGACTCATTACACTTTCTCGGGCTAACCTTCTCAGATGACTTTGAGGTGGAAATACTATACTGAATCCATTGCTATGTCTTCTGCTAAGAAAATTGGTTCATTATGATATGTTCAACAATTTTCTCTCCTGAATCTATCTTGCATATCTATAAGTCTACCATTTGTCCATGCCTCAAATATTGATGCATATTTATATTTGATAAAATCCAAAGAAGAATAGGGTACATTATTGCTCCTGACCTGATGTTTCAGTTTCAGTCACTTTCTTCCCTGTGCCTTTTCTATAAACACTTTCATGATAATTGTTCAGTTGACCTCTTTGCTATGGTACCTAGACTTTATGAATTTAAGTGCAGTTCTAGATTAATGACAAAGTCCTGTTGGTTTACAGCTGAGCTGGTTAGATGTAACTGTAAGTTCTATGCTAACAATTACTTTTCTCGCATTTCTTGCTTGTGAAACTCACTTCTGGCTTTTTGCTTTCCAGAGACGTTTGATTTTCAAAAATGTAAGTGCAATGTCAATCGTTATCTAATATCTTCTTGATTACTCTTCTATTGTTCTCATTCCTCAATAATGCTTGTTTTCTAATTCTCTCACACTCAGTAACTCTTTGTGTCTTAGTAACTTTATTGCCTTATTTAGAAAATGAATGAATCAATCAATTATTAGCAACAAATCACAATTCCTCCAGCTACAAACTGGTTGCCAGGAGCAACCTCACCCAATACAAATGCAAATTCTATATTTAAAAAGAAGAGGACCTGGAGAAAATAACTCAATTTAATTTTTTCTGAGATTATTTAAGTTAATTTATGCTTTAATTTCAAAAATTTTAAACTGCAATAAAATATTACTTTCTTTAGCACCATTTTAACATTAATAAGATTATAATAACATAAATCCACAGTAGCAAACTCTGGATTTACAGGATGTAAAAGAAAAAAAATTATTCACTTTATTTGTTTTCTGCATTTTCACTAACTTTATGTTGTTGTTTTTTTATTTTTGTTTTTTTCCCTGTACAAATCGCTGGTAGTCTCCATTCTCCTGATATGGATGTGAAACCTAGATACTGTTGGCAGAAACAGAGAGAAGGATCCAAATGCATGAGAAAACTTCTTGGCATCTTCTATTGGGAATCTAAAACCAATTAGTTTGTGTGGAAAAGGGTTGAAAGTTTTGTGGGCCACCAGGAACCTCTTCTCACCACTGTCAAATGGAGAAAAATGGCGTGCTTTGGACACGTTACAAGACACGACAGTTTGTGCAAGACCATCATGCAAGGCACTGTTGAAGGTGGACATAGGAAAGGACGCCAGTGTAAAAAGTGGTTGGTCAATGTCAAACAATGGACAGTCATGACTATACCAGAATTGCTGATGGCTGCCATTGATAGACTGTTATGGAAGAGATTTAACGTGGCTTCTGCATTCTGATCCCCCCCAACGATTACAAAAGTCAAGGGATGATGATGATGGTTATTATGATGGTGATGATGATTATGATGATGTTTTTTGTAACTGAAAACAAAATTAAAACTTTAACTGCAGTATGACCCAAAATAACACAAATTTTAGCTTCATTTATTAAAGTATATTTTAGATTTATAGTATTTAAATAAATATTCATGTTAGTTTTTTAAAACTTGTTTTATGTATACAAAAATAAGTTTTCTTTTTTTAGAGTATTTTTATTTACTATTTTCTTGTAATTAAAACACCTTTTCTATTTTCTTGTAATTAAAACACCTTTGCTGTAATGGCTGATAGGTTTTGTGTCATGATACCACTTTTAATTAATTTAGAATGTGCCATTGCCAATGTTTATTTATTCCTGTGCGATAGAAGTTTCGGTGGAAAGAATAATGTATTGATTAAGAAAAGTTGAAGAGAAGTAATTAAAATTTTATGAAAACTTTTGGAATTGAATATTTTTATTTTTTCTTATATATATTCAAATCAAATTTCCTTTAGTTATTGAATTTATTTTTTCTGCTTTTGTTTATTTTTTTCTGTAAATAGATTAAAATCTCTTCTTTTAAAATTATAACCATGGTGTAAACTAAAGTACTACTTTGTTTAGGCAAATTTTAGTTTTATTTATTAACATATATATTTATGGTATATAAATAGATTAATTAAAATCTGTTCTTTTAAAAATTCTCCCCTACGTTTTTATGATTTTTATAAATATTGATTTATTTTAAAGCTGAGAAAAAGATATTTTTGTTTATCATAAGTGAATTTAAAATGACAGTTTGGAGGAAAAATAATTGTAATTTACCCATAATAATCACTGTTCTCAAAGAAAGTGTATAATGTTCATAGTGACTACAGGTGGATGATAATAATAATAGTGTAAGATAATATGTATTTACAAAAGACATGGCATAGGGGTCTGTTATTGGGCTAAATGTAGTCTTATTTAAAAATACCTTTAAACCAATAACATGCAGGAACTTGTCATGGTATAAATTCTGAAAATGTTCAGATCATTGTAGAGATATTGAACCAGACCATCTTGTTAGCCATCAACAGTTCCTGAATATTTATAGATGCAGGATCTTGCATGCAAACAAATCACTTTGAAGTGTAAATATTTGATTGGTCTCATATTGGGTGAGCGTAGTAACCAGATAATTTATCAGAAGTCTCCAGAATGTTTCTCAAACCAATTCTTGATAGCTTGGGCCCAATGATATCTCATCCTGATTGAATAAGCTATCACTGTGTGGGTAAATGGGATCCATGAATGGGTTCAAATGGTCACAAAGCAGAGCAGTTCAGCAATCATTGATCAGTGCAGTGTTTAAGCAGACCCAACCCGTGACATGTGAACACAACCCAGTCTTCCTGGTTCTTTGTTAACACCCGAGTTCCATTGCTTCATGTAATCTGAATGACATATAAACCATTGCATCAGTTTAAAATGACTGAAACTTTTACAATCTAACCATGTCACCCATTGTCAGTTCTCCTAGGTTAACATTACAAGCCCAGGTGAGCTACAAGTGTTAATAGGGCCACCTCAGTAAATCTGTTCTCATATCTTATGGAAGATAAGAAATGCTGAACTGGCCTGCTAGCTCTGCATCTAATACCTTCTGCATTGAATGTGGATGTGATTTGAGCTGGTGCAGTAGTGTAGTCAGAGGTGGTGTGGGGGGTGGTCCTCCCCAAGTGACACATTTGGGTCTGTTGTGTAAGCCTATATAAGCTGTATTGAAATAAAAATAGTTTTAATGTTGGGACACTACTCACAGTTGAAGGACCTTTTCGATTTTGAGTAACTTAAACTGTGTCATATGTATTTAAATGATTGTTATCTCAGTCAATGAATGAACACTATCCAGTAATGTATACAGGGCTGTTTTATCAATGTTGATAGTGTGAAACCTACAAATAGACCCAGGTTGTGTTCTTTTAATGCTACAGTATTGGGAGGGCACATCTTAATCGTTATAAAAATTTAATTTATTTGTTATTAACAGAAGTTCGTCTGAGGGTATATGTTAGTCTATTTTTTGAATTTTGAGTTTTTTAATAGTTTATATATATATATATATATATATACACAGGGTGCAATGCATAAATGGTTGTCTAAATTATGCAAAAATGAAAATAATACTGACATCTCATTTTAATTGATATATTTACTAAAATTACACAAAAATATTTTGAAATACTAAAGAGTAAATTTATTCAATAAAATCAACATTGGCTTCAACCACGGCTTCCAGATGACTGTAACTCTTCTGGACGGTCTCCTTGTTTTAGTTGGTGAATTCTTGCCTTCAGTTCATTTTTGGTTTTACAAGCAGTTTTGTTGGTCTCTCGCACAACTACGCCCCATACATAATAATCAAGGGCGTTGCAGCCTGGGGAGTTAGGTTGCCAGATGTAAGGGGTGATGTCGTTGCAGAAACTGTGTGACAGCCATGACTGAGTTCTCCTGTTTGTGTGGCATGGTGCAGAGTCCTGTTGCCAGACATAGGGTCTTCTAGCAGCCACCATCTTGACCCAGGGCAGCACTAGTTCCTCAAGTAGGCCTCCTGTAGGCTTCTGTGTTTAGTCTGTCCTCACCAACAAATTCAAGAGTTCATTTCTTATCAGAATGATCAGTGAGTTTTGCGAAGTTGCCATACCTTCATAATCACCATTAGTTTCATCCATCGCTTTCTGAATCTTGTGCACTGTCCTCAGATTGACACACAAACACTTTGAAATATTCATATTGGAGCTTCCTGTGTGAATGTCAATCTGTACAGCATACTATTTCCAAATTTCTGGCAGAGTGAATTACATCATGGTGCTCTTTTTCTGACAGATGGTGCCCAACTGACCCTACTATACTGTGAAGCTAACAAAATAAAAAAAAAAACAATGTGCATGCACAAAATTAAAAATATAGAATGGTGATAACTTACCCATGCACCTGTGTATATATATATATATATATATATATATATATATATATATATATATATATATATATATATATGTATATATATATATATATATATATATATATATATGTATATATATATATATATATATATATATATATATATATATATATATATATATATATATATGTATATGTATATATATATATATATATATATATATATATATATATATATATATATATATATATATATATGTATATATATATATATATATGTATATATATATATATATGTATATGTATATATATATATATATATATATATATATATATATATATATATATATATATATATATATATATATATGTATATATATATATATGAGAGGTAGTCACTGTGAAATATGTTTGTATTTTTGTGGGAGAGCTGGAACCCACTGGCCTGGGTAGCCCACACTCTAGCTACACCACTGAGCAAGTGTTGATTATCTGTTATCGCAGAGAAATGCTAGCCAGACATAATCATTTAGGACCTGTAGTCAGCTGCTATGCTTTCTATCAAGAATTTTCAGAGTATGCATGCCATTGTAGATTGAGGAATGTCAAGTGTCCATATAATTTCAGAAATGAATGTCCTATTTGTCTGGCACCCACTATTGTTCTAAATGCGTGTATGGTAGCATGAGAAAAAAAAGAAGTGCTACCTGTGTGGCAAAGGAAGAAGACAAGAATTTTTAATATAAAATTCTTTGTATTGCAGATACAGAGGATGTGAGTGGAATGTCTCTTTGTGGTCAAAGGAAATAACTTGGAAGAAGGGTAGAGTTGGTAGGGCTTTGAGTTGATGTGTGTATCAAGTCAGTGGCCCAAGTTCACAGGTGGTGACATTGATAGCTTGTCAATGGTGTTGACAGCTTGCCCATTTGTTGTGATTCTGTTTGTTACAGCACTGTCATGGTGTCTTAAAAGCATGTGGGGTGGATCATGACTTTTGACACCAATGTTTGTGATTGGCTCCTTTTATATTGTATTTTATATTTTTTTGAGAGTATTTATTTTGGATGTGATGCTCTGAGCTCCTGCACAAAGAGTGACTTTTATCTTTATTTTTGCTTTCTTAATGTTCACATCCATCCGACCGGTAGAGGGAATCAGAAAGAGATTTAATTTGACGCAGAGTATAACACTCTCATGCCCCATTCAAACTTGTATAATTCAGGTCACCTTGCCATGAGCAGCCTAGCTGGTGTTCACCCTGACTCACCATAAGTAAGAAAATGACTGATGTCAGTTTTGGGTATTTTCATGTTGTCAAGGTACTTCTCAGATTTTAAAATCATTCTGGGTTAGATTATGGATGTGTCAGATATAAAAACATAAGCCAGTTTCCAACAGTTTTTTTTTTATGTTGGTCGTTTGATTTTGTTTAGTGGCATATCAATCTCTATAGGTTATTTAATACCAAAATCTAAATATTTTGAACACAGTTTTATGCCTTCAGCTACAGATAAATTGTATTGTTGGTCATTTTGCCATCAAATTTACTATTGATAATTTTGCTTTGAAAATATATTGTTGGTAATTCTACTATAAATATGTATTGTTGGTAATTTTTTTTTATATATATATATAATCGTGTATTTTTACTATACTTTCATAGTACTTGGGTGTTAACTATGTGCCCATAGCTGGGACCCTAACAGGTGCTACCACCCTGGATTAGGGAGGACCTAGGAACAACAGCAATTAAGGGGTGGTTTCATCCTCCTCAAAACCTCCAATCTCCTGATCAGAGGCCTTGCTGTTGGATGTAGGTTATTGTCATACCCAGGACTATTTTGTTAGAATTTATAAAATGAAGGATTATCACTATTGTTACTGGGTTATTTTTTCTGTCATGATGAACAGTTTTATTCTAAATGAAGCTTCTTGCTTTGGACATCTCTTCAGAAGTTATGCCACATATGGTCCTCTTTGCTATTCCATAATTTTCAACATGTCAGTAATGACTGAGGTGTATACAATTTCATAAGACATTTTTTATGTTTTTTTTTTCCATAAACCGTAATAATAACAAAACTAGAAAGTCATGGTGGGCATTTTCCCTTACATGAGAAAACAGATTCAATTCTAAAGTACTTAGCAGAGAGAAGAGAGACAAGAAGGAAGAAATAAAGATTTATAAATTTTTGGTGAAAAAATATCTAAACTTCTATCTTCAATTTTTTTAATGCAAGGCAGTAAAGCCACTAAGACACAAGGAGTTATTGGTTGTGAAAGAATTAGGAACAAAAACATTAAGACTGAGTGGGAAGGGGAAAGAGTATTTGGGGGACAGTAGATAGCGATTGACATTGCATTTAAATTTTTGCTGATTAAAATTGGCTGAAAAGCACGGAGCCGGAAAGGAGTTTCACAAGTGAGAAGTGTGAGAAAAGAAACTGTTAACATAGAATTTACAGTTACATCTAACCAGCTCAGCTGTAAACTGATGAGATCTTGATGCCATATATCATTTTATTCATGTTTGTCAAAACTTTTTATTTTGTTTGTGCTAAAACTGACTGCATCTAAGTGAGAGAATTCTTGAGTAGAGCTTAACTCAGAAAAACGAAAACCTTGCCAACACCAAGTTTAAAAAATGCAGTTGGCATTAAAATACAACTGTAATTAGTGTTTCATTTTTTTACAGCTAGAATTTGATGTGTTACAATGTAACCTTAAGAGTGAATGTAAATTTTGAAATATTCATTTCATAAACTCTACCTGTGATATCACAGTTTTCATAAAGAAATGTACAATTAAGCTTGGAAAAAGCAATTTGATTACAAATTATAATTCTAGTGAGTTTTAGAATCCTCTTTTTTTCTATAGTTAATTGTGTGCTTCTTTTTCGATGAGTTGGAAATATCAGAAATTTTTAGCTCCTGACAGGAAAACTAAAAATATTCTATACCAGAGAACATTGTAGTAGACACTGGAAGAAAAAGTTGTTTATTAAAGAAAGAATTCATTTATGTAAATGGAATGAAAACTACATATTTAAAGCAAAATATTTTTTAAGTGAATAGGAAAAAATGCTTCAACTGAAATTGAAAAAAAAACTTCTGGAAAAAGGTGTCACATATAATAATTATAAAATTAGTCAAATATTTTGAAAAAAGTTTTTCACAAAAAAATGAGACAAAATTCCTAAGAAAAGAATTTCATTCTTGGTCATATATTTTTTCACACTGATGTTTTTGCAAAATTTATTAATGTAAAATGGAACTTTCTTTTGAATTGTTTGGCTGCAACACTTCTAGTTGAATCAGGATTCTTGGACTGAATGAAGGTTGTCAGCATCTTTTCTTAAAGCAATTGATACAAAGTAAAGTGAATTCATGTAATTGCATTTATTTCAGGTACTTGTAAACCCTAGCAAGGCTACACACTTTTGCTAGAATATATTTATGTATAAATAAAACCAGTGGCATATCAGCATATAAATGCATCCACACATACACGTATATTCATAATGATGATATATATTTATAAACATACATAGATATACATATATATATATATATATATATATATATATTTGCAGATATAGATATATAAAACGTTGTTAATGTATGTATGTATGTATATATATATATATATATATATATATATATAGAGAGAGAGAGAGATAGGGAGAGAAAGAGAGGCTGCCATTAGAGCTGTCAAAGCCTCATAAAATCACCCAGCTCTGTGTGAAAAAATTCTTTTCTACAATATTTTAAACTAAAATTAATAGCTTTCAAATTAGATTAATTAAACTTTAATTCAGATAATCTTCCTCAAAGAAAGTTTCAGAAATATTTTTTAAATTTGAAAGATTTTTTAATAAATAGAATTACATTTTGCTGTGAGAATTGTAAATATGGCTAAAATCAGCAATTTTTAGCAATTTAAAAAAATAATTCCAAACAAATTTGTTTTTCTAAATACAGCAAAGTATTTTGAATAGATTATTAGAAATATTAAATTTAATCTGTTAGCTTGAAATTAAAATAAAA